AAGAGAAGACTTTTAAGAAACTTGGCAAACGTTTAATCTTAAAATTTTTGCCAAAACTTAAAGCAACTGTGTTTTGAAAGTACCAATGTTTCGTTGCGCGTTTGCGTTTTATTTGTCCTGTGTTACAAACAAAAGCTGGCAGAGGTAAATCGTAATTTTTCTCTCAGAAGCAACATGAAAAGCCGTAAGCTCAGGCAAGTCGAGGGGAGTAAATTGGAAAACAAATGCAAGAATGGATAGCGAAGGTTTGGCCTTCAAATTTTTATCGGAAAGGGTTTATCTCTTCATGCTGCTTTGTATATCGTGTTGGAAACATTACCTCGTGCAAAAAAATGGAAAAGTTAAAGAAGGGTTATTCGCAATCAAAATTTTGTTTCGTGGAAAATCAAAAGTTCAACCCGTCATTTTCATATTACAAAGGAAAATTAACAACTTTCCCCAATTGTTTTTGCATGAGGAAATGTTTCTATATTTTTGGCGGGAAATTTGCGAACAAACGTCTTTAATTTTTTTGCTGAAAAAGTTGCCAGGGGAAACTCTGCAAATCGCTCCAAATTTTCCCGCCAAAAGTCTTAGTATATATACGAGTGGATTTTTCCAGACACCTTTTTAACTAATTAAGATACTTGATGTGAAAAACAACTGTTGTTTATCGACTTGCTTTATTTGAGACATTAAACAGATAATCAAAAAGTACACAACAGTCTTTTATAACTTTTATTGATGAAATATTACAAGTAATGAAACTTAGAAAAACAACTAGTTTTTTTTTTAAATTGGCGCATGCGTATTTTAAGCGCCCGTATTTTTTCTAAGTCTTTTGGCGAGAAAATTAAACAGATGTTATAGAGAAGCATTTTTTTAAGCGGCTGGCGCATGCGTATTGGCGTATTGTTCAAAGTTTCAAAACGAAAATTAAATGTTTATATTTAGCTTCAAGTCCTCACTTTTTGGCAATTGAATCTTAATTCTGACACGCAGGATTCTTGACAAAAATGTGCCACATCTGTTTTGTACCTCTGAAATAAAAAAAATCCTGCGTTCCGCTGGGTTTTTAGTCTTTCTAGTTTGATTCGTGCGTGAAGCATCGGAAAGTTTGATCAGTCAGTCTGCAAGAAATTGAAAAGAAACCATAAGTAAACAAATGAAAAAGATAATAAATTAATGTTAGCTAAATCTGGCTCACGTTGATGTACGATTTGTATTGATAGATATCAAACCGGCATTGCGGCACAGGAAAATGGGCGCAACCTAGACGTATCAGTGAATTTAAAACGATTGCTGATGAATATTCTTTAACCATGTGGTCGAAATAAACTTAATTTAAACTTTACTGCTTTTCTATATCTCGATAAGGGATTGATTAATTTAATTTCTAGCCATAACAAACAATTGTTCTTACTTAATAATAACGAGTATCTTTATTTCGAGGGCTAACATCTATTTAAAATGGAATCTATAATTCTATATTTTTCACATATGTTTATAAAAATAAAATTTTAAATATAAGTACATCACTAATATGGTTGCTGAGACAAAAAAACATAAAATATATTTAAGAATCTATTTGCTTTGATTGAAATAGGTAAGATTTATCTAGGCTAAAATATAGTAAACGTTCTTACTTCCCTCAGTGGTTGATGCGGTAATTGCACAACACTAAAAAGGAATTTCCAAGAGACGTTTTTCTGCCATGAAAAGCTGCAAATTGTTGAAACCGTGACAACATGCTTTTTTAAACTAATTCTCTCGTAATTCACTTTATTTTGAAATGTATTCTATCAAAGGTTTCAGCTGAGACCCTAAAAATTAGCCGGCTCCAATGCCTTCACTAAATTTAATACAAATGCCTCAAGCAAAAGATAAAAGCAGACTTCAAAACCTAATGAGAGATCTAAAAATAATCCTAGTGAGCATTTTTGAGAAATAAAACATTCTTAGCTAATTTGATGTGGTTTTCTTCGCAAGAGCTAGAACATTTGTCGATTACTTTACAAATTTTTTGGATTGAATTATTAAAAAAAAGTGGATTATGAAATTTACAAGACATTTTAAGGGGGATTGAATGCATTTGAGGGAGAATATATTTTTAAAAGTATATCACGTTTGTTTTACATATCTTTCAAGGTCATAATCAATAGATAAAAAGTTCTAATTTTGAAAACAAAGTTATCACACCATCGAAGATTTGAGAGATCTTAAAAAGGAATCTCAAAAATTTACATAACATCAATTTCTGAATCATGGTAAATTTGGCTTTAGTCTCAAGAGCTGAGGGGTTCTACAATTTGGCTTTGAGGTTTTACTGAATTAACTGAAAATTGTTCCAATTTTGGAACCAAAAAGTCTCCAAAATATAAGAGCATTTACGCGCGACTTAGTGATGAGTTAAGAAAAAAAATCGTCTTTTGGAACATTTTTCATAACATTGGACTTCTGAAAGGCATCATGGGAAGTGAAAATTTGTGAGGCAAGCTAAATTTGGTTATACTCAACAATTAGGTTCTGAAGTTTTTTCTTAATTCATCTTGAAATGATTATTAGACCATCATGTTTAAAGATCTAATGAAAAGTTTTTTTAAAAACATTGAGAAATAGCCTTTTTTTTACGATCTTATTTAATTTTTTCTCAGCTTTAAGAGCTATCTAAATTTGACAGCTAACCTCTGTGGTATCATTGAATCAGTAGGAAAGTTCTGATTTTGAAGAGAGCAAAAGACTGACTTCAGTTTATAGCTTCTAGAGCAAATAGATGAGACTTCAGCTCAAATAAAATAAGCAAAACAGTTCTAAATTTATAGATAAAGCCCCTAATACGAAAACACCAGGATATTTAACTTATCAGACATGAAAAACAAAGAAAACTATTAACAAATTTGGGAAATATATATAGGTTTTAGAGCATATTAAATTTGGTTTTGAATATAACTTCCAGATCTCGAACATTTGACAATTAGGCCCAGAAGCTTGGACATATTATTAAGAAAAGGTTCCAAGGCTTTTTCTGATTTGGGAAAAATTTTTTCTGTAACAGAACATGCTGAATATCAAACCTACTGGATGTCTAAAAGTTCTGATTTTGTAAAAGCAATGTATTTAAGACATTTGGAAAAAAGTAATTTCTTAAATGAAAAACCTTTTTCGTAGTTATCAGAGAACAAAACTCATCAGAACACTGAAAAAAAAACAAAAGAGACAAAACAAAATTTTAGAAATATCAATGGGAAGCATTTTGGACTTGGTTGGTTTTCTTACATCTCTTTTGAAATCACTCGTGATTCCTGCAATCTTATTGGCTCTAACTGGTGCGATTTATTCAAATCTCATCATATGCTCTAACTAAACCGCACCTTTTTCTCAGCTAACGAGACAGCTTTATAACTAAAACACAACAACCTATCAAATTTCAAGACTTGTTTAAAGAAACCAATCAAATTACAGGAAATAATGACAGACAATTTTTGCAACTATACACAAACAAGCTCAATATACTGAATCGATATAATGAACTGTATTTGAGCGACTTTGCGATTTTGGCTTGAAACAAGAGATTATGAAATTGTAATATCTTGCTGTCCTTAGGGCCTACAGAGATGACAAGTGGGCTTCAAATATTTCATTGATTGAGGAAAATATTTCACTCCTAAAAAAAAAGTTATTCAAGCATAAAATTATAAGAAATCTAAATAAAATTCGAGAAAAAAAGTTGTTAAATATCAATCTTAGAATTGTACTGAAATGTGGTCTACAATATCACACCGAATATCACACCGAAATCACACATTGAGGTTATGAGAATAAAGGAAATGATCACCAACCAACTTAAGCTCTTGACTGTTAAACAAATTCTCCTTGTCAGCAACTTAGGAATTGTACAGAGAACAGTATGGAGAATATGCATACTGATGATAGCGTGAAAAGGGTCAAGGCCTGCATGAGTCTTGCAGTTCTTTAATTAAATTTTTATGCCCTCGTACCAGATGGACCCATTTTTCTTAAGTTCTGATTGGTCGTTTTGATTACTTTGGTTTGAGCGCAGCAACCCTCAATCGAAATGCGCTCCATTTTATAGAACACTCGGTTAGGGTTATGACTTAAGGCTTGTATTCAAAGTCGCATCATGGAGGTTCGACAAATTTTTCTTTCCATGCCTGCTGACGTAAAGGATTTATTTTCCCATGATGCATCTCGGCATCGAACCTCAAGAAATTTTCAAAAGTATACCGCTGGATTCAACAACGAGATCAGGGCCATCACCAATTTTGTATGTTTGGTGAATGTTCCATTCATTTCCTGAGGTGATGACAATAATTTGATGATAGTTAAACATTAAGAGCTTCTTTAGTTCGCGATCATATCCTTTATTCTAGCGACCAGTGTTTGATTCAGGGTTGATATTGTAAGGAGAAATTGGATACCAATCAATCATAAGGGTCAGAGGGTTAAAGGATTTGTTGCCTCACTGATGGGAAAACGGTCACTGCAAGATCATCTAAAATGTTTAACCCTTTCATATGAAACTTTTGCCTGTGATATTCATACATTATCCAGCAAACAGGCAATAAGAATACTCAAACTCATCAGGTAGAAGTCTACATCCTGATCTTATACAAGATTCTTTATTTGATTTACGAGGGGATATGTACCATCTAGAGGGGAGAATTAACAATCACACCTCGTGAGTTAAACGGTTGAGGGAGAACGCACAAATGGCGTTCGCCAGATAACGATCTTCATCATTTCATTTCCTAATGCCTCTGGTGATGAAAAAGACAACAAAACACAAGACAGAAATATTGTGCAATGTAAAACAAATTAGGTTTATTCTTCATTCTCGTTTAGCTAATACAGGGAAAACCATTAAAAGATAAATGGCAAGGTCGTAAGGGAATGGTACAGCTGATAGATATCAATAGCTATCTACGTGGAGAAAATACACACGAGAAACAAGGAAAACATGGGCTAAATGGTAATAACATGAACAGCTGATTGTAATATAGAGAATGCTGTGTTAAGCTATCATTTTAAGGACTACTTCAGAGCCAACTTATTTCTAAAGCAGTGGTTCACCCAGGGGATAAAATCCAGAGAGGGGAGGCGCTGGATAAGTGTGAGATTGATCCCACAACTCCCCTCCCTTCAATTGATGGGACCCCTTTGAGCACCTAACTGACACACCCCTCTAGCCTCTGGCTGGGGCTTTCCCAGTGGGATGGTAGAAAGTCACTAGAAGATGGGGGTGAATGGGTAGGGGAGAGGGGGGAATCTCACAACTTCCCTCACTCAATCAGAGGTATCCTTGTGAACAAACAACCAGCACACCCCTCAGTGCTCGCACTGCTCAAACCTGGCTGAAGACTAGTAATTACTTACATATACACAAGAAAGTGTCCAGTACTACAGATGGTTTCCTTACTTAACTTTCTTTTTCAACTCCACATACGGCAGGGAATTGGAATATCCCAGGCCAAGTTTTAAGATACCATTTCGTTTTCATAATCTAATCCTTTTTTGTGCCATTTTGCCAGTAACGAGTTTATTACAAAGCAACTAAATCATCAACATGTTTCTCTAGGCAGTGTTTGCCAAGTAACTGAGGACAAGAAACCATTTCATAGAAGGATTTAAGGAGTTCAGATTCAATCCTTTGTCACACATATCACAAAATGAAAGGTTACATTGAGAACATGACATAAATCAATTATACCACAAGAGTAACCTTTGTACTACAAGTTTTTTTTTTAAAGACTAATAACTTCTTGTCAAATGACTTTTGTCAAGCTACATGTACAAAATGCAAAGTGATCATGAGAATCATCTACAAATTACTTTACTTACTAATATTACATTCACCAGAGTCCCAGACTCTGCCATTCCTCTCCAAAAAAAATTGCCTGACTAAATGCATGACAAGCTTTCAAAACCCAAAACCCAAAAAATGTACTGCCACACTTCAATCTTGCATACTCATCCTAAAAAACACTACATGAAACCATACATGGTGATCTTTCTTTAGAGGGCACTACTCTACCAAGCAATGTCACAGACTGCACAGAATCCACATCTGGTAAACTTATGAAAATAGTGTGAGGTGTGCAAAGGGAGCTACCTTAAATAATTTGAGTGACCATGTTGCAAGGTATTGCAACAAGTGTCAAACATGGCTGAGGTGTGAGTTCTAATATTCAGAGTTGGCTTTCTTTTTTTTTTTTTTTTCTTTTCTCTTCTCCTTCCTTAGTTGAATGCTTGATGAAACGAGTATCCTCGAGTAGCAGGAGCAGAGTAAGATTAAGTTAATTGTAGGAAATCAATTTGCCTTTGCCTTGTAATTAAGTTCTGTGTTAGATATGGTTGTTTTACTTCCAGAGTTTCTTGATTGACATGTTCTTTTCGGAATCTTTCTGCATGACCTGGATAGTGAATATGAATGTTAAAGATTAATTCCACAATTGAATCATTTTCATCAAACGCTTTAAGGTAAAGTCTGAACTCACGCCAAGTGACTAATCCACCCCCCCCCCTTCCCCCTTCTAGGGAAGCTATTCCTTCCTGGGTTGCCCCACAACATATCATCAGGTCTGCCTAACAACTTACCTGTACCCATTTATACTCCTGGATGGAGACAGGCCCTGTCAGAGTTACACTGTCAGTGTTTTGCCCAAGAACACAACACGAAGACCCAGCCAGGTCTCACATTTAGACCTTGACCCAGAGTCCAGCTCACTAACCACTAGGTTAATGCATTAACAACCATCAAATTCTTAGCTCATCAAAATTTGAAATATGATGAACACACTTACTTTAGTGACAGCCATTTCAAAGTCTTCCTGCGTCACATGAACTCTTCTTTCTCTCAAGGCATACATGCCTGCCTCTGTACAAACACCCTGTAAACAAAGACAATCATGATTCAAAACAGGTTCAAACTGTACACCACTCAGTATTTACAACTATATTCCACTGTAAGCGTGCTACACAACTTTGATATAGTAAATGGTTTGAACCCGGGGGTAACATGTGATACTGTAGTCTGATTGTCCGCATGAGTGTAGTCATGAGAAGGACTGTCATTGGTAGTGGTGACTGATGTTTCAACAACCTGAGCAGAAGTCTTTCCACTCTGACAATGACTTCCACTCAGGTTGTAGAGACATAAGTCACCACAACTGAGAACAGTCCTTCTCAGAACTACACTCACCCAAACAATCAGACTACACCAACACTTAACTTAAAATGTTTCCTACACTGATTTAAGTATTCAAAACTTGCATAACTTTGTGGTTACAACAATTCAGCTGAAAATGCTGCTACTGTGAAAATGTGTTGAATAGTTCTTGCAATATAATTGAGAAACTACAAGCAGCCACACAGGTTGAAAACCTATCATTTATAGCAATGGTAAACCCAAAGGAAAATGAAACAATTTTTAGTTCATTTCAACTTAATTCTTGCGTGGGCTATTATATTGGTAAACTGAGAGAAAAAGCAGCCTATTACTCAAATAACAGATGTTTCAGGTTAGCTAGCATGCACTTAATTTAACTTTAAATTGAGGCAAAAACTCCTCATACAAGTTCCTATAACTGGTACTTAAGCTAATTATCTAGATTGAATGTGCATAGCACAAGTTTCATTAACTGTAGAACCATTTCAAACCTTGACTTCAGCTCCTGATGATCCAGGCATAAGTTCAGCAATTTTTCTAAGGTTTATGCCTCTTGTTAGGTTCATCTTTCTGGAATGAATCTTCAGGATGTCCAGTCTAGCCTGTAGGGCAATAACAAATCAGTATTAAATTCAAGTTGTATTAGTTGGTCAGCTTGATTGGTTGTACACTCTTGTGAAACAACTTACAAGTAAAATTGTGGCAAAATGACTGTATTTAGTCAATTGAGCACCCAACCTCGATAGAGAGCCCACCTTGAATAAGTACCAATGTTGTGGGTAGGAAATGTCAATAATCACTCAGCCTCAAAGCAGCAAACCCTTTAACTCCCAGATCGAATTTGAAATTCTTCTTACTGTCAGCCATACAATTCTCATAATGTTAGTTCAGAGAAGTTAGTATTGGATCAACTAATTATCCCCAAATTGATGTTTTTCTTTATTCTAATCACTTATATGGTTGATATTTTATTGATATTGTAAGGAGAAATTCTGTCTTGGTCACCCACAGGAGTTAAAGGATTAATGAAGTGTGACTCAAAATGCTTGTACCTTAAGTCACATCCCTCACTTTCATCCCCTTTTTCAATTAAAAAAATTGCAGCCTATTCCCAGGTAAATATGGTATTTCTCATTGACATAAAAGGCTAAGTTTATAAATTAAATTTTACCTCTTCATTTGGGGGAGGAAACTCTATTTTCCTGTCAATACGTCCTGGTCGCAAAAGTGCTGAATCCAAAATGTCTATCCGGTTTGTTGCCATGACAACCTTGATATTCTTGGTTGCTTCAAACCCATCAAGCTGGTTCAGTAACTCCAACATGGTCCTTTGAACTTCACTGTCACCTGTATCAGGGTTAAATAACTTTGTTAGAGCTAAACAATCCTCACAGCTAACCATAATCAATGATTACAAAGTTCATTTGTCTTAGAGAAGGTAACGGTATATTGGAGGTAAGGCAAAGCTTAAGTCTGTACTTGAGCTTATTGGCCTAGTCAGCCAGAAATTACTCTTGTTTCCAAGTACTATGAAGTGACAAGGAGTATCACTATTTCTCCCTGGATGGGATGTCAGTCCATTACATGCGTACCTCCCAGCATTTCATCAGGCCTCACTGACTATTAATTTTGTTGGTACCCATTTATACTTGTGGATGGAAAGAGGCAGTGTAAGAGCAAAGACACAAAGACACAACGTATGCCCAAGAACACAACTCATTGACCTACCCAGGTCTTAAAGCTTGACTACTCAACCTGATTTTATTGGAGCTAAAAAACAACCAATTGTGTCAAAATGACAAAACACTTACCACCAGACCCCCCTTCTAATCTTGAGGATCCAATTGAATCAATCTCATCCATAAAAATGATAGAGGGAGCATGTTCTCTGTTGGTTAGAGAAATAGAGTAAAACATATCTATTTAACAAATAGATTCCACGTTGCTGTGCGTCTGTTAAGTAATAGATCATAGATGACGTCAAAATGTGGTAAGAACAAAAAAGTGGCACACGAGGCACAGCTGAGTGTGTCACTGATGTTCTAACCACATTTTGATTTCCTCTGTGATCTACTACTGAACAGACACATGACAAATTGGAATCTATTTATTTTATATAATAAGGAATTTAAAAAAGTTTGAATGATGATGTCATCTATATGTCTGTCCTCCAATAGATCATCAGTGAGAACCAATCAGAATGTGTGCATAACTGAGCTTATTATATAAACAACAACAACTAACAAATACAAAAGAGTTCGAATCTCTTTAACAGCTTTGAACAAGCTTCATGTGTTAGAAATGTTAGGCAAAATATCTGAGAGAGCACATGTTGCTGATGATAAAAATCTACTGCTTGATGTCCTGAATGTTTCTAGACATAATACATATATAGGCAGCCTATTAAATCCTCAACTTGATTGGGAAGAATTACTTCTACTGTAGATCTAAATATACTTTTTAACACAATTTGTTGGAAAAGCAATTTACCAAATTTTTGTAGCTTTGTCTCTAGCAATGCAAATATCAACAGCCATTTGAAATAATTATCTTCAGCTTAAGCACATTTAGTGAAACTCAAATTAAATTATTATTACTATACCTTGCCATGACAAACAACTCTCTAACCATCCTAGCACCCTCGCCAATAAATTTCTGAACCAGTTCTGAGCCTGAAACTCTGATAAAAGTGCACTCGGTGTGATGTGCAACAGCTCGCGCAAGAAGTGTCTTTCCAGTCCCTGGTGGACCATACAGTAATACTCCCTGGAAAAATTTAATGATATCCACATGTATATTAAAAAAGCTACATTTACACCGTACAGTACTGTCTATCTTCAAGATGTTTCTTTTTTAAATCAATTTCCCTATTTGAAATCTGTGTTGATGTCTTCCATTTTGCTTCTTAACACTTTATTCTTAATAATATAGACCTTGAGCAGTTCTAATGACAACACAGACTTTGAATACAAAATGAATACAATATCATTACTGGAAAGTTTTGAATGGCTGGATGGGTTTACTATATCTTACAGCACTACGCCTCAACTTCTGCACAACATTTGTGAGCAGCATTGAACTCCTAATAGAAACTTAAATAATTTGCTGTCTGTATTTCGGTTCTCAGACCACACAAGTTTTGGTGATTCCAAATTGTTATTTTGCAGAGGACTGCTAAGAAATGTATAAAGTTTTAAAATACATGAACTGAGCTATTATTCTTCCCATTAAATCTTTTGTTTTCGCATGTCCTTGTTGCAGTTGCATCGTGGTTTGGTTAAGGCCCCCAATAATCTAATACTGTGGAGAATTTACATGAAAGCAAGACAGTGTAAAGCATTTTGTCATTTACATGTTGTTTGTGAAACTGCCTTTTTGAAGGTACTGTACTTAAATCTAACCTTGGGTTGATCAATTCCTAAGGCTTCAAAGAGCTCAGGATGCTTCACAGGCAGCTCAATGACCTTGATTTAAAAAGAAACAAAAACAACAAACAACCAGTTAAACAAAAAACAAACACACCAAATGAAAGATTAAGTCTCTGCCTATAAAATCCTCCAGAATTTCAATTTTCTCCCTCCCACTCAGATGCCATATACAATCAATTCTTTGAAATAGACATGTGTGTATACAAAACAATCTAGACAAAAAATCAAATATGCATATCTTTTACTCTATTTATCAAACTAACCCTGTAGTTCCGTACACAAATGTATGAATAGAGAAGATTCAATACCTCCTTGATTTCTTTAATCTGTTTATCTAATCCTCCAACCATTTCATAGGTTGAATCAGGAACCTTCTCAACCATCATCAAACTGACAAGAGGGTCCACCTAGGTGAGAAACGAGTTTACAATTGGAGGTTGAGAAAAAAAATTGTCATCCATGTTTTTGCAACACTTATTTGAGATAAAGGATATATCTCATCCCACAGAGCAGTCCAATGTCTGTGCTTGTGCGAACACTATAATAACTAAGTTACATGCTTTCAGCTTATCAGAACCAAGTTGTTTCACTCAAGTTACAAACAGTGCTTCACACTAATTTAAAACAAACACTCTGTTCACCTCTTTCAAAAGATCAGTGCATAAAACAAAAAAGATGGCTTTAATGAAGAAACACTATGAGTGGAACACACTAACTTAACTCAACTCGAAGAGCTTACAAATGCATACAGTAGATGTACACTGTGCACATATTCACCTAAAATCCTCAATGAATTTTTTTTGCAAAATACGCACCTTGTTAGGAAGTATCTTATGAAGCATGTAACTATCATTTCGCAATGCCACTCGGCAGTTTGGTGTAACCTACAAAACAAGAAGTACAGGGTTTGCTGTGATCATAAAATAAAGAAGATAATGTCGTAATTTTGTACCAGGTTTCCTGTCTCCATTGGGAGACTCATTTCCAGACCATAAAGGGTACAAAGTAAAGCCAGGTAAGGGGTTTCATACAGTGTAACTAAGCATGTACCTTTCTCCTCTGAAAATAAAACAAAATCGTTATGGATACAATCTACACAACTGTACAACATCATCACTTACATCAGCCATATCAATTGATTTGTCGATATCCACCACAAACTTTCCCTCTGGATGAACCTGTGAAAAGCAAAGGATAATGTAAATAATTTCAGTGCATTTGCAGTGAGCTGTGAGCTCCTCTGAAAAGTCACTCTCTGCCAATCATAAGCACATCCACCTTAAACTCCAAACAAAAGAACACAATCCACATATAAAAATTTAACCCTTTGACTCTCATCAATGACCAAGCGACAATTTCTCCATACAATAGCTATACAATACCAAGCAGTGACGAGAAGATAAAAATATATATCGGGGGATTAGTGTTTGATCCAATATAAAATTCTCCAAACTAGCATCATAAAATTGTACAGCACAGTAAGAAGTTACTAATAAGATCTTAGCAGGGAGTGAAATTGCGCCTAATACAGGTGCCAATGCGCCTAAATTTTTCACTTTGGCGACCAAATCCTGAAAGTTAGTCGCCAAATTGCCGACTAGAACGTTTCATCATAACCTTACCGAGAGATATTGTGAATTAAAAAGATTTGCAAAGATAAATCCGCAGCAAACTTCCTTGTTTGGTTTGTTTCCAAAACGTAGCACATGCATCTCGATCGATAACTAGACACCATCTTGGATTTAGATGAGCCTGAACATTGTATATCATCCATCCTAGTGTCCACTTTGTAGCACATTAAAGATCTTTTCCCTAACTTAATTTTGGAGGGTCTATCTAAAACGCTGACAGCATAAAGAAAGATTTTGTTTGTCTTTGAAAATGGTGACCAATTTTTTTTGAATTGGCTACCACTTTGAAGAATTTAGGAGCCAAGTGGCTATCAGAAAAAAAAGTTAATTTCACGCCCTGCTTAGGAGTAAAAGGGTCAAGAGATACTCCAAGTGCCCCTTAAATTTTTATCTGAAATCTGTCTTTGGATGTATTGTCTATTAACAAATCATCCTTACATTTCATTCAAAGACACTAACCTTCACCAAAACCTTCTTCTTGTCCATGGGTTTAACCACCTCACCAACATAAGATCCTTGTTCTTGCAAGAGTTGCAATTCCTCTCTCAGCATTCTCACTATAATGTGGATGTTCAAGAAAACAAAGCCCATTTTTCACTTAAATATAAATGGTTCAATATTTTTTCTGGTATTTCTCATGGGACAAAATGGCAAAAAGTGATTTTACAATTCAAAATAGTGCACAAAATAATGTTACAAAAAAAGATTATGGTATGTTTTTGCATGTACTGCTGTAGTTGAATTTTTTTTTAATGGTACCATCTCAACACTCAGTCACTTGAGATATGACAACTCCAAGCTACATGTGTCCTCAAAATTTCAACTAATTGATCAAGGCACATTGCACTTTACTTGCTCTAAGGAAATAGTCTTCTAGTCTCTGTAGAGAGTATTTCTTTTTAAGGGGTTGATGATCATTGCTAGAAAAAACAAGTTTCAATTCAAATTAATAAGAAAATTCACACCAACCTTTGGCATTAAGCTCATTTCTCTGGGCTTCCAGCCTCCTCAAGTTTTTAATCTCTTCTGTGACAACCATCTGGAATAAATTTGTATTTAGTGGTCACAAATGCCACTAAGTGAGTGGTGTACATGTACTCTACAAAGTTAACCCTTTACACTCTATCAGAATACACATTCCCCATACTGTTCTCTATACATTCCCTATAGTGCTAACCAAGAGAATTTGTTTAACAATCAAGAGCCCCTTTAGTTGGTGATCATTGCCTTTATTATCCTGACCTTATTGTGTGATTCAGGGGTGATATTGTAAGGAGAAATTTGACACTAGTCACTCTTAGGGATCAATGGGTTAATAATGACACAACTTTACATTTCATAACAAAATATAAAGGGTTGGAGCTACATGTAAATGCAAGTTTGCATTAATTTTTGTCACACAGATCTACCTGCAGGAAAAAGTTTCCTTCAAGAAAAGGATTGAGTGGCTCACACCCCCAAGTTCACAATTAAAATATTCCTAAGTAGGTTCCCCAGATCAACAAATGTAGTTAGTGACATCAAAGAAGCTTACCACATTTGACTGCAAAATCAGACTAATGCTCGAATCCCAATACAAATAGGTAACTCAGATGTTTTCCATAGCCAAAGTTCATAACAATCTTTCTATAATCAACAACCATGCTATAAATTAACTATCTTTGGTACTCTATCTATATGTACAACAGTGTACTTTACCTGGAGAGCCTCAATCTTGGTGACATAGTATTGCTGAATTCCTTCATGCTGTTTTTCTTCTTCCACTTCCATCTACATAAATCAAATAGTGGAGACAATTTAAAAACTTAACATATTTTGAAACATGTAAGTCCTGCATCTGAGTGTATTAAATGCATATGCATAGTTAATGTACATCTTAAGGGTACAGTATACAAGTGTACATTAGATCTAACACATGGCCAACATAAATCTTATGCCAATTGATTTAACTCACAAAGAAGTTTGTGGGCATTCACTTGTTTACATAGAATTTCTAAAGATTATAACAGAACATTCAGACACACAGGAAAGAGTTTTTTAGCCTGCTGACAATCATGTCCAGATATTACCCAAACAAATTCAACAAGTTTGATAATAGTTGTCCTGGATTTTTAGAAATTCAGTTCTGCTCATTGAGTTTTTCGATATCAGCAGTGAAGAAAGAAATTTCAGCACTGGTGATTTTTTCCCCAACAATTGAAGGACTATGGTTATTTTAATACCATCTATGTTTTTTTAGGGGCTGGTGAATGCAGAAATTCCTTCTTGACTATTACATAATGAAGCATAACAGGACAACATTCCTAGCAAGCAAAGACTGATAGTGTCAACACCAAATTCTGACCATGCATTTTCTCTTGACTCAACATTATTTCTGGCTCTGTACAGTAGTCATTAAGGAACTCAAGGACAGCAAAGACATTCTTCCAACTTGGTAAGGGTTGTCACTTGTTGGTTTTATAGATAGGATAGGAGAGGTTATCTCCTATTCTTAGAAAAATAGTAGATATGCACTATAGAATATTACTTCTTTCCAGTCAATGATAGTAGATGTCACTGTATGCCCTCTGATTAAGATATGCTTCAATGAGCAGTTAGTATAATATTTGCTGTAGATTATGCTGATAATGTGCCCTTAATTTTAATTCTAACGAGTATAAATCATGGTTTTCTTTTCTTCCTTTTTTCTGATTATATCTCAAACATAAAACCCTCAGCTCCTGTGGTCACTGTGCACATCCTCTCTAGATTTTCCATTTATTAGTATTTAAATAATATTTAAATAATACTTAGTACATTTCTGTGATTATATAGACTGTACATGCTAGATGAATTCATCTGAATAGTGCAAATAAGTTGAAGTTGAATTGTTGAAGTCTGCACATGACTTAAAATAGAAAAATATTTAAACAGTAACCTTTTGGTGATCTCTCCTAATATCACAATTGAAAAAATATACCATAGGCAGATGTTGGTCATAGTTTTGAAGTTTAGAGACCTGACATGCATACTAATAAGATAGGAAAAGTTTTATCTATTTGATTTGAAAAATGTATAAGATGGGTAATTTTTTAAGATTGACTTAACCCTTTAACGCAATAACCCTTCAACTCCCAAGATCTAATTGTTAATCTCCCCTCTAGCTTCTACATAATTATTTCCTTTGTAAGTAGTTACATGTATGAGAATTTGGTGTTGATCAAGATAACCTTTTACCTGATAAGTTTCAGTATTCTCATTACTTGTTTCATGGATAACGTATGAATATCACTTGAAGAAGTTAAACATTTATCATTACAGGTAATAGATTTGTTTTGGGCACAAGTTTCTTTTTAAGATCTTGTAGTCAAGTGCTAACTAAAAACAACTTTTAGTTGTCATAGTTTAGTCCTGCCGGGAGAAACGCCACATATAATATATTCAACTTATTGACATTAACATAGATGAAACACTACAGAAAGAGCTTTTCAGCATCAAACAAATTGAAATGAAAAGATGTCTGAAGAATGAATAAATATTCGCTGTAAATTATTACCCATTCTTAGGAGTGTTTTCTAGAAATATACAAAAAATCATGCTTCAAACTGAAAAGAAACTCTAATAAAAACTGATCTTAAATTGATGATACTCAAAGATTAAATTAGACACTTCAAGAAGGGAGAGAGACGACAATCGATGGAATAATTAACTAAGACGAAATGAAAGAACGCTATCACAAATCCGTAAATATATTTAAGTGACTGTAAGTGACTACGATCACTGGCGCATGATTCAAGTTGTTCCAAGCGTCAATTTTACAATTAGTCCGACTTTAAAACTTCCAAAAATTTCACGTTTTTTCTAAGTTTTCAACGTAAGGATAGACAAAAAGCTGCCTACCTTGTATCAAGTGACTGAATTTTTACAGTATTTTGCATCAACAAACTTGGAAATCAAACGTTGAGACGAAAGATTAAGTAATAAATAAATTACAATTAGCTTTTTTTCGTTTTAAAGTGTAGCGTGCAGCTTGAATCTTAACAAAAAACGGTTTGTAAAAAGTCATAGCTTTCGATCAAAAGATGTCGTCATGTAAAACCACATGATCGACTTTTCGTGTTTTTCACGAAGTAGTGTCTCGATGTTTTATCACTATAACTTCTCTTACCTCATCTGGCTGAATTTTCTGTACTCTACGAGCAGGTTCTTCTTTCTTAACGGTGCTTCTCGTGCTGGGTAAATGCATTACAGCCGTTCCGGCCGCCATGTTGGAATGACTTTGAGAAAAAATCGAAATGGACCATCATGCAAAGCGCGGAGGGATTAGATCATAAATGAGCAATGCATTCTGGGACAATTATAGTTACCAGTTCTTTTCTTCCAGAGGAAAAAAAAAATAGGGATTAGAGTAAGTGGCCTTGTTCGACCTGCACCGTCTGAGAATCAGGCCGAATGAGTTTCGGCGCATGCTCAAATTAGATATTTCCACCCTTCATGCTCTGTTCCGAGTTGTATGAGCAATCGTGGAGATCAAGTTGTAATAAGTAGAGATATCCGATCATCAGTGTGCTTTCGTGGGGCCCGTCCAATTGTGCTCGGCAACTTTTGAGCCACTTTTGGCGTTTGGAGCAACTTTTTGCAGTTCTAACAACCTTAAGCAATTTTTGCCTATCTGGGCAATTTTTTTTAGTAACCTTTTGGTTTAAACCAGACGCCAAGCATGATAAAATCAACGATTTCACGAAAAACTTCAATTTATGCAAATTTGTTGAATGGCTTGCAGGCCTTCCATCTTATATTAGAGCGGATAATCGGCTGAAACGACGCGCAAAAATGGCTGTCTTCGTTTATGTACTTTCCATGAACGGAAATGGATGGTTAGAAGCCACCTTCCTTTATGAGCAACACTCGAAAGCTAAATTTATTAGTGAAGAACGAAAAACATAACTTTTAATTAACATAAAAAAGAAAAAAAAATCAAAACATTCAGGAGTCAACTTTCGAAATTTAATTAGCAACTTTTTTTGATTTTCGGCAATTTTTCAGCAATTTTATGGCATTTCAGCGTGCAACTTTCTTGCATTTTACGAGCACAATCGGGCAAGCTGGGGGGGGGGGTGGGGAAGGGATGAGGGCTGATCCTGTCTCAAGTTAACGCACGAATCTTTGAAAAATTTACGCGTCACGTCATTAGAAGGGAAAAATTAAAATCGCTCGTCTTATTATTCATTCAGGATATTATTCATCTGCTGTCTTTTTGCCCCAAAACCACGCAATTTGCATATAACGGCACCTGACTATTAACAAGTTTTTGGTACAGCTATGCGGGGTTCGCCCGTCTCTGCTGTCATTGCCAACATGGTAATGGAAGACGTGGAACAAAGGGCCTTAGCCACTTCACCGGTTAAACCCTTCTTCTGGAAACGATATGTCGATGATGTTATTTCTGCGGTATCTGGAAATGAAGTGGAGCGCCTCCTATCTCGTTTGAATTCCGGTAGAGCCGGCTATCCAATTCACCCTTGAGCGTGAAAAGGATAGAAATTTGCCCTTTCTTGATTTAAATGTGTCCAGAGGGGTTTAGGGTAATTTAGAGACAAGTGTCTACCTTAAACTTACCCACATCGACAAATACCTCGCTTTCGATTCTCACCACCCTATTTGCCATAAAAAGTTTGTAGCCAAAACTTTACTCAGGAGGGCTGACTATCTACCATCTTCACTCGATTCGAAGGCTGAGGAGAGGAAATATGTTTCTAACGTCCTATAGGCAAATGGCTCTACAAAATCCAATTTCTCCGTAACTGTCAAAAACCAGTTACAACTAATAGCACTCCTGATGAAAGGGAATCAGCGACTGGTTTTGCTGTTATTCCTTACATTCAGGGTATTGCGGAACCCATCAAGAGAATTTTGAATAGCCACAACGTTAAAGTTGCTCAAAAACCTTTTCAGACTTTGGGGCATATTTTCGCCAAACCTGAGGATCCTGTCACGAAAGAACAACGAACCGACGCCATTTATTCTATTCCTTGCAATGACTGAGACAACGAATACATCGGACAGACCAAACGTCAGTTTGGTACGCGTTTGAAAGGGCATCAAAAAGCGGTTTTATTTTGCAAAAAGGAAAATTCAGCTTTATCGGAGCACACATGCCTAACTAACCATACAATTGGGTGGGATAACTCTAAAGTTATCACCACTAATCAGCGTTACCACCAGCGCTTTTTTTTGGAGGCTTGGCATATTAACTCCGCCCACGCTCCTTTAAATCGTGACGATGGCGGCTTACTTTCTGACGCCTATTACACCTCGTTAGAACAAGGCAGCTAATTAGTGATCATATAAAAGGACCTCTTGTTGCAACGTTTAGATCACCCCTGAAGAAAGCACTAGACAGGAGTGTCGAAACGTTGGGTCTATGAAATGTAATTTCCTCCGTTACACTCATTGAATCTGTAAACCAGAGTAGCATCAAACCATGTCTCTCTTATTTGTTTCGGGGATATCTTGAAGTTTTTAAGAAACGAAAGGAAAAAATTAACGGGTAACTTTGTTCACGTGTATTTCAACCTTTTTCGGGAGGCAAATCACCTCTTACGTTGGTTCATAAATTTATGAATCCGTGCGTCACATATCAGTTTTGGCCTTTATCGCGCGTCTAGGATAACCCCTTTCCCAACCTCTGCCTCCTTCGGGGGATCAGGTATATTTTTTGGTGACATAACCAAAATCCTCCAAACCCTCTGCCGAAGGAGATAAATAATGACCTGTCTCTTTGTGGCGTAGATAGAGTTTTAGGCTTTTGGATTAAATTAATCATGCTTTAGGTATCTTAAACAATTTAGGATCGTGTTTTTTCTTTAATTTGTATTTTGCAAACCAATTTGATCATTCCGCCATTCTGGTACTCTCACGGCTTATTATTTCTTCGTTTGTTTTTTTTTCATTCCGATCTAACGTTATATTTGATGGTCTTTTCAGTTCAAGGTGAAGGCAATTAAGGACGTTGTCAAAACCGAAATAAAATATCGTCGCGTAACTACCTCTAAAAAACAATTCTAATTTTATTTGATGCTAGCGCTTTTACAATATACACAGATTCTACAATGTTCGTACTGATATCACGTAGTAAGGCAGTGTGGTTTCCAAAATATTCAGCTTTATATCACAGTTATCAAAGGAAGAGGACCGCAGATGCTATTGCTTTACCAAAGATATTACCCACGCAGGCTTTTGTAGGAAATATCTTTTTAACTCCCCCGTCTTCGGCTCGCGATTTACAACTTTCCTTGTGCTCAATCAACATCGCAAATAGGTTGTTAGGCCTCTTACCTGGTAGAAAGGGCGGTCTTTTGCTCCAATTAAGTGATTTGGGGTTTATCGATAAAATAAACGATGGATTTTTGACCAATCAGAGCATTCCGGTGTCTAAGTTATTTTATAAAAACATATATAACTTCAGAGAAGATTTGTTGCGTTCTCCGACACCGAAAACATCGCAGTGGCCACCGAAGTGGCAGAGACAGGTAAGATCGACCCTGATTATTTTATCTCGAAAGGCAATCGAGTTCGCAAGTACAGTAGAACACCGCTAACTCAAACTCTCAAGAGAAACAAACAAACAAGAAATGGCTCGAGTTTGGGGGGTTCGAGTTAACTGATGGCAAATATTAATTACTGAAAAAATTGAGCAGTGGGAAATTAGATCTTGTTCGAGTTACCGGGGTACTCGAGGTAATCGCGTTCGAGATAGCGGGGTTCGGCTGTAATTCTAAAATCTTGAGCTAAATAATTCACCTCAAGAAACTAGGATAACTATAGATAAGCAGATCATTTCTGAAAAAGGGGACTGAGGTAACACCAATTTTTCATAAGCTTTTGTTCCATTTTTTCGCACATGATTTTGTTTCAACCCTCTAAAGCCCATTCTTTAAGATATACAAACCTCTTTATTGACTCGATAAAAGTGAGCGTTTTTGCTAATTTATACTCAAAGCGGGTAGACTAGATATCGAATACTGTTCTGGATGCTTTGTCTCTTAAGAAATAATCGAATAACTTAACACCGGTCCACATTGTCATTTCACAGCTGAATATATTTTTTTGCAAACATCTCAACTGTTCGACTCTTAACTTGATATCCTTCTAACGCTCGAAATTTCAACTTTACAAACTCTTTAAGGTGGCCAATTTAGATTGTCAACTCAGATGAATAAACCTAATCATCTTGTAAAACCCCCAAGCGACGCAGCACCACAGTTTTTTACAAACTTACCCCCTTTATTCATGATATCCCATATGCCACGCTCCAAGTTAGTTGCGTCAACAAGAAGTTTGAAAAATCAACAAAGAAATCTGAATGTTGGATTGCTTGGCTTTCGTCATGAAATGATTTAGACAAACAGTGAAACAATACTGTTAACATGTTTGTTAGTTTTTGTGGTTTAAGTACTCTTTTGGACTTGTGCATAAATCACAGATTAAGTCTATATCAGAGCTGCAAATAAATAATTACAAAGAGCCGGTCACTTACAAAACCTTTGTACAGCGATATGGAACAACTTGCTGGTCGACGACTTTAAGATTTGTAGAGCGGGACAGCCTTATTAGAAAGGCCCTCTCTGATAAGGCTATCCCGCTCTACAAATCTTAAAAAAATCAAAATATAAAATTCGGAATTTTTCAGTGTTCCTTTTTCACTACAAAAACACTTTGAACTAGTGGATCTTTATATGAAGAGGTTCTATATGAAACATATATTGGTCTGATGTAAATTTAGTGAATTCCAAAGTACATCAGGTGTTTTTAACCGATGTTCTGTTTTTTTCCGATCAACTGAAAACTTGTATGCCGGAAATAATATTTTGGCTTCAGACACTGGGAGACGAAAATTTTTTTTTGAATGTCTGTTAAGTTAAGAAAAACATGAAACTGTTGCGTCAAGAACACAGTTGTATGTCTTATTGTTGTTTTGTCGGGGCGGTCCCACAAAGCAAAATAAGACATAATCATGGCAAGTCACTAAAAAATATTTCCCGTTGTTGTTTTTACTTGAACTTAATAATCAAAACAGTACCACATTTATGGACCAGAAAATCGCGAAAATGCCTCGAAAATACTTCAATCCGTTTACCTCAGTAAGTAACCAGCTAAGCTGACTTTAAAAATGTCATACTTTCGACTTGTTTTTAAGCTATCCCTATTAATAGTGTAAGTGCATCAGGTAGTCGATCCAAACCGTGAATGGGAAAGATTACTTAATCAGAGAAAAATTTTGGT